CGGGCGTCTCCAACAATTTTTTTCTTCACTTTTTTTTCTTTTTGACCTTTCACTGTACCTTTTCCTTTGCTTATTAAAACACGTAGAATCACAAATAATGTTATAAACAACCATGTTTACTTTATTATTCCCCTATTATCACTTGATCCATTACTTTTTGAGTGTAGTCCCTATGGGAGATGACTTTTTCTCAAATCTGGATTCTACATTCCTGTCTTTTGCGAGCAATATCGCCGTTATTTCCGTTTGGTTTTTGTTGATTTTGGAGTATGTTGTAGCTGAGACTATATGCTATCTAAATGTTCCCTCATTTTTTTCAATCAGATGTCATCATGGTCTGTTGATGATCATCATCAACATCATCATGATGATCATCATCATCATCAACATCGTCATCACCATTACTATCAGGATCATCATCATCATGATCATCATGATGATCATCATTGTTTACATGTCTATATAACTTCTCCCTTTCTCAATATAGTAAGTATTATAATCTATCATAAGACTTGAAGACAGACCACCTTAATCGTCCTCGTGACGATTTAAATTCTAGTTTATTTTTTATTTTATTATATTTTTTTTTTAGCTGTTGATACTATTATTAATTGATGACTTTTGCACTGACATCATTTTTTTTATCAGCGCGCATGCAAGCTAATTATATCAAGCGTATTTGAAGCACAACACGCGCATTTTATTTAAAGCGTATAGTGTATAATGTGCAGATTTACATATTTCGCGCGCGCAAACCCATTATCGTTATATTAACGATTGCAAGTTCCCGCAAATTTTGAGCTGTCGACCAATCAGATCGCTGAATCTGTCTAAGCTATCTAATATATATATATATATAGGCCTATATAATATTCATAGCACATCATTGAGTGATAGATCATTTTTTCCACTTAGTATACATCATTATAATAGTGGTCAAAAATAGAACCTAGTACAATGTACATTAAAAGATCCACTCCTCCATCACATTTTAAGACTCATTTAACAAATTTTCATTTTCAAGTAAGTTCACCTATCTAGTTTTGTCTTCTTTGCAAAAGGGTTAAAACAGCACAATTTTGGCCTATGATAATTTTGTGGGTACTGGTCAAGTTCTTCTTGACGTAGTTAGAATCAAAGTTGTAGTCCTATATATGCTAGTTGCATGGTCTTAAGTAATCAAATTTAAAAGCCAAGCCAGATGCACTTTTCTCGTGCTTTCATGCATATTAGATGGATTGCAAATTATTTTTCCATTACATATTATTTGTTGGCTCTTAAAAACTCGTTGAGAAATAATTATCAATTTACTGCATCTTTGTTGTCAATTTTTTTTTATAGCTTATTTTATTTGTACCTGAATTAGACCCATGAAGCAGAACTGACTTATGTTCTTATCCAGGAAGCTTCCAGTGTAGTTTCCTCTGTCTAGTAGATCTCTGAACAGTTCGATCCAACAATGGGTGCATTCTTTGCGCAAAAAGCTCCACCAACTTTCAATTCTCTGATTCGAGGTACTTGCTCCTTCTATGTACACATGTTCTCCCCTGACGTCACTCCTTAGAAATTCTTGAAAAGCGCGAATATGTCCATTCTCTGTACCACGGTCACAACGCAAGACGCAGGGACATCCACCAAACTCCTTCACGGCATCTAGAAAGTAGCCTCCAATTAGCTTTGGGTCGTTATTTGTACTGTACACATTTAACCAAATCATTTCCCTTGAAAATCCGTCAATACATCCGCTTATACACAGGCCATATGGCTTTAATTTTTTCATACCCATCGATATGCCAAATGTAATTTGGTCCTTTTGCGAAGTAGGCCCGTCTGACAAGTCGTCTAGCTTTCCTTAGCTGAACACCTTCTGGATCCAGTATTGTTAGTAAAAGTCGTACATCCTCTTTTCTAACACGAAGACCACTCTGTTGACATTTGGCATGCATCATCCTATATCCATGCAACTGTCCCGAACCCTGTAACTGATCCCGGATGAATTGTACTACATCATCCAAACGGCTGTATCTTCTACGATGGAGATTATTGGCTTTTAATATACGCTTAAGATGCCTTTCACTTAGGAGTATGTCGTGATGATGAAGAAGCATGAACAGAATATCTTTATGTGTCATTCCAAGATCAAAATACATTTAAATGAAGAAATTACGATCATGAACAGTAGCCATCTTGGGATTGAGTTGACGTGCGCTGATCATATAACAAACGATGTCTGGGGTTTCGAAAGTTATGCAACATGTATTGGTCGGGAATTATCTCAGGAAAACGAAAAATGATCTCAGGAAAACAAGAATTTATCTCAGGAAAACGAGAATTTATCTCAGGAAAACGGGAATTATCTCAGGAAAACGAAAAATTATCTCAGGAAAACGGAATTTATCTCAGGAAAACGAAAAATTATCTCAGGAAAACGAGAATTTATCTCAGGAAAACGAGAATTTATCTCAGGAAAACGGGAATTATCTCAGGAAAACGAAAAATTATCTCAGGAAAACGAAAATTTATCTCAGGAAAACGAGAATTTATCTCAGGAAAACGAGAATTTATCTCAGGAAAACGAGAATTTATCTCAGGAAAACGGGAATTATCTCAGGAAAACGAAAAATTATCTCAGGAAAACAAGAATTTATCTCAGGAAAACGAAAAATTATCTCAGGAAAACGAGAATTTATCTCAGGAAAACGAGAATTTATCTCAGGAAAACGGGAATTATCTCAGGAAAACGAAATATTATCTCAGGAAAAAGAGAATTTATCTCAGGAAAACGAGAATTTATCTCAGGAAAACGAAAAATTATCTAAGGAAAACAAGAATTTATCTCAGGAAAACGGGAATTATCTCAGGAAAACGAAATATTATCTCGGGAAAACAAGATTTTATCTCAGGAAAACAAAAAATTATCTCAGGAAAACGAAAAATTATCTCAGGAAAACGAGAATTTATCTCAGGAAAACGGGAATTATCTCAGGAAAACGAAATATTATCTCAGGAAAACGAGAATTTATCTCAGGAAAACAAAAATTTATCTCAGGAAAACGAAAAATTATCTCAGGAAAACGAAAAATTATCTCAGGAAAACGAGAATTTATCTCAGGAAAACGGGAATTATCTCAGGAAAACGAAAAATTATCTCAGGAAAACGAGAATTTATCTCAGGAAAACGAGAATTTATCTCAGAAAAACGGGAATTATCTCAGGAAAACGAAATATTATCTCAGGAAAACAAGAATTTATCTCAGGAAAACGGGAGTTATCTCAGGAAAACGAAAAATTATCTCAGGAAAACGAGAATTTATCTCAGGAAAACGAAAAATTATCTCAGGAAAACGAGAATTTATCTCAGGAAAACGAGAATTTATCTCAGGAAAACGGGAATTATCTCAGGAAAACGAAATATTATCTCAGGAAAACGAGAATTTATCTCAGGAAAACGGGAATTATCTCAGGAAAACGAAATATTATCTCAGGAAAACGAGAATTTATCTCAGGAAAACGAGAATTTATCTCAGGAAAACGAAAAATTATCTAAGGAAAACAAGAATTTATCTCAGGAAAACGGGAATTATCTCAGGAAAACGAAATATTATCTCAGGAAAACGAGAATTTATCTCAGGAAAACAAAAAATTATCTCAGGAAAACGAAAAATTATCTCAGGAAAACGAGAATTTATCTCAGGAAAACGGGAATTATCTCAGGAAAACGAAATATTATCTCAGGAAAACGAGAATTTATCTCAGGAAAACAAAAATTTATCTCAGGAAAACGAAAAATTATCTCAGGAAAACGAAAAATTATCTCAGGAAAACGAGAATTTATCTCAGGAAAACGGGAATTATCTCAGGAAAACGAAAAATTATCTCAGGAAAACGAGAATTTATCTCAGGAAAACGAGAATTTATCTCAGAAAAACGGGAATTATCTCAGGAAAACGAAATATTATCTCAGGAAAACAAGAATTTATCTCAGGAAAACGGGAATTATCTCAGGAAAACGAAAAATTATCTCAGGAAAACGAGAATTTATCTCAGGAAAACGAAAAATTATCTCAGGAAAACGAGAATTTATCTCAGGAAAACGAGAATTTTTTTTTCTTCTCCATGTCACTTCCGGGGCTCCGTATGTTATTGTTAACCTGCTTAACTTATTATTAGTACTCTTACTAGTTACTACTAGTCTTAGTCTTACTCTTGGTAGAGTCTTACTCGAGTCATAGACCTAGGAATTAAGTTCTTTGTCCAGCTAGTCTGTAGCTGTTAAATTATATCTCGATCTCGATTCTGTATTGACCATTATCCTGTTATCTCTGAGTCTGACCACAGATCTGGAAGGACCACCTCTTGTATTTAATATTCTAGAGTAGTAGTACTTAGAATCTAGACCGAAAGCTTCAGTCTCTGATATCGACGGTTGTTCCGCTGAGATTGCATCTGGCTCCTCTAACGTATCGCCTCTAGGCCTATGGGGAATGTCAACAAATGTCAGTTTTATTTTAAAAAATGGGCCATATCAGACGGTTATTTCTGTGTAAGTAGTACTAGCCTTTTTAATTACCGGTAGACAGAAAAATCTGTCGGCTTGGAGTTTTAAAACATATTTTGTAATTTGACGCTCGTCTCCTCCAAGACAGACGGAACCCTCCTAGGACCTAGCTAGCTGACCGCCGTTATGGTAATTTCTGCTTGCCAGTTGTGCAGACTTGTGCCTATCCTATATATATATATATATATATATATATATATATATATATGTGTCACTTAATGGACGACACCTTTTGATCAAGCAAAGAATTTTTTTTTGTCTAGGTTGATCTACATGTACAGTGTCAGTATAGATATAACTCTCGATCTATCTCATGTTAAACACTTCTTGATCTTTAATTCATCTCCTCTTCATTTCATCTCTTCTTAAGTTGAGACTTGAGAGTAGACTCGGGAGATGAAGATAAGAATTAAACTATAACCATCATAATTTTGCATTTCAGCCCACAGAGCAACACAATATTTCAGGGATACAAGAGGAAGCATCGATTACAAGCAGGTAGGCCAACCATGTTATCTAGTCTGTTCTGAGCCAGAAAGCTGTTAACTCTGTGTTAAAGTAAATGAGCTAATTATGTCCATCTAGCTCCAAACAGACATATAAAAAAATAGCCATCAACATTTTAGACATCAATTTCTTCATCTTTGTCAGAAATTATGTCAGAGATACACAGACATTTCAAAGGTGCATGGAATGAGATGGGGGTGCAAAGTAGATGCTTAGCATTCCCCAAGAACGAAGCATGTACAGTATTTTCTTGCATTTACAATGTATTATAAGGAAGTTGTTAATTTTTATATAAATTGTTAATTACAAATACTACAGCAGCTAAGTTTGTATGAGGTGTCTTCCCATTCTCTGTTCATCTCATTCCTCTTGTTTCAAAATATTGCCATGGGGATTCTTTTTAGTTCAAAACAATTCTTTTATGAGTGTGCTATTTACAAAATTGAAGAAAAGAATTGATTAAAAAAATAAAGAATTCTGTTGTACAAACCCTGTACTGTAGTTAACAAAAAATATGTTTAACTTAAATGTTGACAGATGAAAGAAAATTACAACTGCATGATCATGACTTCATAGATCAACATTGTTGCACTTTGCTTTATTTGTCTGGAGCTGACTCCATGTATTGCCTTATGTGCATAATGTTTCATGAATCTGAATGTGTGACAAACGTTGACTAAAGCAGTCAGCTGAGTATTTCAGAAGTCGACTGAAGCAGAAAAGAGCTCAGATAATTTCACATGATATACTGCAATAACTTTGGAGGTGAAGGCACTCTTGATCATGAGGCAAAGTCTAAGTAAACAAATTCATGCAGTACTTCAGTCAGAGGTCAAGAGATTAGTACTGTATTTGAAGGCATGATTGCTGAACATTGGAATGATAAAGTCCTCATTTGTGATCATCTTGTAAAATAGAGTAGGCACTTCTTACCTGTTTACATATATATATATATATATATATATATATATATATATATACATTTTATCATTTTGGTCCTTGTTTCCAGCTAATTGAGTAATTATTCCTTTTTGGGGGTGATTTGTTATTGTTTTTATCCCAGATAAAATGAATTGCAGCTGATTAAGACACTCCTCAGTTATATTGCATTATCTTTTTATTGTTCTTGTTTAACTACGTCTCTTCAGCTGATTTTAGACAATCAAGATGCCTTCCAAGCTGGCAACCCTTACCCAGATGCCTACTATGATACTATTTGCCAAGGAGGTAAGATATTCCTCCTCTCTATAATCCCCCCTTGAATTATAAATTGACATCTATACATTCATTTTGTTTTATCCACAGAGGGATATTCCCATATATCATGAAATACTGATTACTCTTTTTCATCATTGAATACTTGTTTTAGCCTTCACGTGATGGAAGCTCAATTGCACTTTTTTTGTCCCCCTCCAAATCTCCACAAAAGCAGCATTTTAAATTCATGATAGTTAAAAAGTTGATTACCCAAGATAGCCTCATTAGTATTCAACCCTTCCCCTTAAGGGCCCTGCAATTATTATTACCGGTATAATAATAATAATAATAATCAAACATTTTTTTATATTTTTGTATCCCTAGTATGGTTAGGTACCCATTTGATAATAATAATAATAATATTCATTTGTAAAGCGCAATAACTATGTGAATATATTCTATTGCGCTGCAAGAGCTCGTAAATGCTGTGCTATACATACTATATGAACAAGTGAGTTTTCAGTTTTGATTTAAAATTATCTAGTGATGGGGCTTTCCTTATTTCTAGTGGTAATTTATTCCATAATCTAGGGGCAGCACAGAGAAATGACCGGTCCCCGAGGGTTACTTTGGTTTTATATGGGGGTATTTGCAACATAAATATGTCTTGTGTACTACGAAGGTTACGACCATGGGTTTGAGACTTGATGTGCAACAATTCAGTAACGTAATTAGGAGTTTGACCATTTAGAGCTTTGTAGACTATCATTAAAATTTTAAATGTAATTCTCTGGCGAATTGGCAACCAATGTAGTTCCTTAAGAAGTGGGGTTATTCGAGAGAATTTTGGGAGGCTGCAAATTAGTCGTGCACATGTATTTTGGACCCGCTGCAACTTGGAAATTTGTGAGTCTGGCAATCCATACAATAAACTATTACAGTAATCTAGTTTACTAGTAACACATGCATGCATGATAGTTTTCATGCTGTCCTGATCAAAGTATTTTCGAATGCGTCTCAAATTATAAATCATGAAATAGGCTGATTTGCATATTTTAGTGATATGTGAATCCATATTCAGGTGGGTATCAAAATACACACCCAAGTTTCTAACAGTATCAGATGGGGTTATGGTTGAGTCACCAACTGATACACTACGCGACCTAAATTTAGAAACCTGGCGTGGAGTACCAATGACCAAAAGTTCTGTTTTGTTATCATTTAACATCAACTTGTTTTGCAACATCCAAATCTTAATATGAACAACACATGATTCTAATTCAGAAATACAATGATCTTCAGCCGGTGTGTTAGGACAGAAAGATAGGTATAGTTGGGTGTCGTCTGCGTAGCAGTGACAACTAATACTAGGAAACTCTGTATGGATATTTGTAAGGAGTCTGCTTGTATACAAGGTAAACAACAGAGGGCCTAATCGCGACCCTTGAGGAACGCCAAAAGGCACATTGAATACATCAGAGACAACGTTATCAATTTCAATTTTCTGTTTTCTATCTGACAAGTAAGATTCAATCCATTCGATAACCTTGCCATCAACCCTAAAATGGCTTCTTAGAGTTTTCAGTAAAAATGAGTGATCTATTGTGTCGAAAGCACTGCTCATATCAAGGAGAAGCAGCAGACTTATTTTCTGGTTGTCCATTGACATAAGAAGATCACTTTTTATCCTAAGAAGTGCTGTTTCAGTACTGTGAAATTTTCGGTATGCTGATTGATTGAGCGGCAACAGTGAATGATGTTCAACGTGCTCAAGAATCTGTTGGGTAGCAGCTGGATACACCTGGATCAAGACAGCAACAATGTGTGTGTACAAAACACCTTGTCTGAGGATGTTAGCACCGGGCAAGGATTAAACTCTGGACCTATTATATGCTCGAGAGAGAGGCATAGCGATCAATATACCACAGTGCTCCCCCGATTGCCTAAAGATTTTTTGTAATGCTTTAAAGATGAACTCATCAGTGGTCTAGACACACCAATTCGTTTCGTTAGAGAACTGGAAGGATATCTTTTCAGCACCCCCCCCCCCCCTCCATTCCATAGATCTGAATGCATGTCTATGTCACTGGATTGCTCTACATTGGTCCTTCATTATATGGTTGTTACTCTTGCTATTTCACTGCCTTTGAATCACCTTTGTATCTACACAGGCAAGTTCCACAGTGTATCGGAGGACACCCACTGGGCCCCTTTCCTGACCACCACCATCCAGTATATCAGGGATCACTACCCACAGCCATGGAGTCAGGTGAGATCAACAACACTCCAAGACCCTAAGCATGGACCTGTTAATCAGCCATTGCGGGAGAGTGTTTTACAAAGATTAAGATCGACTTTAAGTTGGACTTAACTGTGGCAGGCCGTTCATGCCACTGTTTGCTCTCACCATTATGATCTTCAGATAATATATTTTCCTTCAATAATGAATTATCAAAAAATGTAAATTCTGTAGATTTGTAACCATGATTTGTACATCCCTGTAGAGACCAATGCCAGTAAATGGCAAGAGCAAACAGTGGCGTGAACGGCTTGCCATAGAGTTAAGTCCAACTTTAGGACGATTGTGAAACGCCCCTTAGGAATACAGGCTTCAATCCTGTTAATGTACCTGTCCAATCCAATCTAATAAAACAAAAAGTAATCTTTTTCTTGTGGTGACAAAGAGCTGGACACACATGCTTTATTTATTTGCGCCTTCTTAATTAATGCATCACTTAAAAGCCCATTTGGACAAAGAAAGGCCAAATTCTCTAACAAAATGAATCAGACTTCAAGAGTTGCTTGACATAGTCATAGTCCACATACAAGCCATAATCTCTCAGAAATTAATGGGACTGCAGCAGTTTGTACATTTTGGTCGACAGGTGCATGACTTGTACATGAATCCACAAATTAATCTCCTCACAAGAGGATGAAAAGGAAAATCCTAAAAGTTTTTGTTGCAATAACTAATAAGGCTCATTGTTGCATTTCTAGTGTATGTGAAGATGAGGATAATCTTGATGCCGCATGAAGCAGAGCCTGTAAGTCAATTGAACAGATTATACCTGGAGGATTTGCTGTGCACAAGAAAGGAAGACCTCAATATTAGTTTGTTTGATAAAGAGCAGACTAAACACAATTGTATTTATTATTTAAAAAAAAAATCCTATGTGAGGCTGGACAATATACTGCATTATGCATAATGTACATCACTGATTGCAGTAGTGCTCAGTGTGAACATTGAACCACAGATTGATGTTATCCCTCTGCACATGATTTTGATTTCTTTCTAATGACATTCTGTACATGTATATCCCTCACCTGTGTAGGACGCCAAGAAGCTTGTGGTGTTCTTGTTGGGGTTTGCTTCTCACCAGGTAGCTGATGTATCCTGGCACAGCTTGGGCATTGACCAGGGATTCCTCACAACAATGGGAGATGTAAGACCATGAAGAAGTACAATCTCTGTCAGGGTTCCCAGCTCAGGCCTGATAGTTACCTGATTTAAATTGGTTTCCTGATTTTTTATTATTTTTTTCTTCCCCCGTTCACTTTTACTTTTACCCCTGCAGCTATAAATCAGAACAACCTGGACGAAGGGTCCACTTTTTTTTTCTTGTCCGGAAATCGGGGATAAATAAATCAGGGAAAAATCATGGAATTTTATGTTTCCTAGAAGAAAGAAATCAGTAGATTGTATTTTGTCTTGTGACCAAACAGCATATGTCCACTGAATGATTGGCATGTTCAGTGCCGCAGTGACTGCAACTACTGTTCATTGAAGATTTTTAAATAGGAAAAGGTCTAAATTGTCATCCTAGAGCTTTAGAAAGTCCATCAGGGAAAGTATATAATTAAGAGTAAGAATTAAAAATAAGGGAGTTTTGTTTGCATAAGCGATTAGACCCCTGTTTGTGACATCCTCCTGAATATTGCTGATTTATTTATATCTTGGTTAAACGTATGCTCTAGAGTGATTGAAATTTGTCATTTTATACTTCAGCATTGCTTTCTCAACTTTCATTCCAGATCAACTTTTTTGGTTCTTTCCCTGATGCCCACAGTGTAGGTGATGAAGGTTAGTTTTCAATCCCTGCCATAGCACCAATGTCCTTTGGCAAGTCATTAATCTACATTTACCACCCTTGACCCAGGTGTAGGATCTATTCCTTGAATGCAGAGTGCTATTAATTTTTTTTTTTTTTTTAATGCTAGGGAAACCACATTTGACCTGATTTTACGTCTGCAAAAGGTGATCTTCTTCCAGATCGCAGTTGAACGTTTTACTCTTGATCTCCATGAATTTTGTGAATCCCCATTTTTCTCCTTTTTTCCCCTCTGATTTCTGTTGACAGCTTATGTCATCTATAGTATGAATATTTTTTAGGGGGGGGGGGGTCATTATTTAAGGTGGTAGTTCTACTTTTATTTTGTAATTCGCAGTATCAAAGAGATGCTTCAAGTCGGTTTCTTCCATTCTGCTGGAGATTATCTGTTTTTTTGTTGTTGTAAATTGGAGTGACAACATCTTGCATATATTTCACAACATTTTGTTTTGGACTTTTTATGATTGATGGTGATAGTCTTCAAAAATCCAAATAAAAGGAATGTAGACAGCGAACATATATTTTTTCTCTATCTTTTGCAGGAGGAGATGTTTTATCTGAAGCAGAACTGGATTTACAGTACATTGATACTTTGACAAACTGGTAAGATTTCTTTTAAGGTAATGCAAAGTTTTTGGAAATTTTGAAAATTGAATGGATAGTAATTCTTTAAAATGTTGATATATTTGAATGCCCTTGTCGATGTACTATAAGCACTAGAAAATTTAGCCCCTAAAACACTTCTGCTTTCAAGAAATTTGAATTATACAAATTTGTAGCAGGAAACATTGTTTTAAAGCTAAAGTAATATCAGTGTTGAGAGGGAGCTATATACTTAAATAGTTTAATTTTTACAATGTCATCACTTTAGACTCGATTCCAATCGCGACAATGATCATTGAATATTGTAAAATCGCATATGCTTCCATTATGTTCATTTGAACCAAATTCATAACCCCATACCAAAACTTTGTATTACCTTTAAAGAGATATATAAGCCCCATAATAGCTAAATAATAATAATAATAATAATGGTGGCTTCTTATATAGCGCACATGTCCGTCACGTTGTGATGCTCCTGACGCTGCCCCGATTATTACCCTGGCTTGAGCAAGGCAGCCACTGCGGCGCTCTAGCATTTCAAGGAATTAATATAGAATTACAAAATTATAATATTGATGCACAAGAGATCGTGTATTTTACGTTATTTGAACTATTTCAGGACATTTTGTTTGAAAAGATTTTGTGTGTAAACTATGCAAACTAAACCTTCTGTTCATGTTTTAAAATTTGAAATTCATATTCTTTTTTATATTTCTTTCATTTCTTAACTTTACCTAAGATTCAGAAAAATGCTGTAGTCTCTGTCGTTGTTTCATGGTAGAGTAAGAAGAACTTTGCTAGTAGGTTGCCATTAAACCATATACTTCCGGTTATAAGAACATCATTATCTTTCTAAACATACAGGTATGTTCCAGTCAAGGACTTGTATGAAATATATAAGATATATTACAACAACACAGTCATATTGCAAGAGGATGTCATCGTAGAATGCACAGCAATTTTGTTCCTTGCCAGGTAAAAATGGCTTTCTTTTAATTCTTTAATCACCTTGGATCGAAATTGTAGAATGCCACAAGGTTTGACAGTGTGACTGAAGTCAACTGTAGCAATCCCTTGCTTGTTGCTTTAGTTGAACAAGGCAAGGAAGGGGTTAAATCTCGCCCGAATGAAGTGTGACTTGTTCATCGTGATTACACATAACCAATCATATGATTTGATGCAGAACTGTCATCAGTTTTTCATTTTCTATATTTGATATGCTTAGGGATTATTCACCATTTTTCTTTTGCAAGCTGTAAATTGTTGATTAGTAAAGACTAAATCATTTAAGAGCAATGCAGTGAAGCTAAAATCAATATAGATAGTACATATAAATATACACAAAATTATTATCGATGAAAATAGATTTCCAAGCGGGAGATTGGAGATTAGTAAAATCTAAATCATTTTATAGCAATGCAGTGAAGCAAATACAAAATAAATATAGATCCTACATTTCTACTAGAAGATTAATTTTTGTAGTATTCTTGTGCAAATAATAATATTGGTAACATTTATCACTTTTTTATGCATGAATGCCTTGTACAAAATGCAACGTGCCGACATTTAATATTTTGTTTGTAAATGACTTATGTTGTTATCTATACCCATTATACAGGTTAGGAGAAAAGTTGGCACTTTCCAAGGTAATAAATTTACTATTTTTCAATCATGTGTTCAATTTCTTATTATAGACTCTTCAGATGCATACCATAGTTCTACCGTATTTGCAGGCGATAAGGCCGCAGCGCATAGGCAACTAGATATCAGCGCTTAATAAATTCCTGGATTGGATTCGATAATATAAAGAATAATGTCTTATTCCAAACTATGCAGGCTAAAAAAATGGATTGATTTTTAAATTAAGGCATCGATTAACAATGTTAAATCTGAGATGCATTACCCTATGTGTTATCAGTGTCTGTGATATGGTGTAATATTGAAGCCCTAAAAGATTTGCGCTTCAAAATGATCATGAAGTGCCTCAAAAGTAGAAATCTTTGAGTGACCGGTTTTACCATACTCATTTTCCCCAATAGACTGTAATGTTATAAAAATGTTAGGAAAATGGTTTTGAAATTTCGATTTCAAATCATAAATATCTTGATATTCAGACAGACGATCGGTTTGTAAAATTCATGGGGTTCCTGCCTGACCAAAAGGTTTATAGTTATCATTGCAGCATGAGCTTAATCCAGGATTTCAATTCAGAATCTGAGATAAAGATACCTAATCCCTTTAAGATACTATTGACACATCTTCCTTTCTTGTTTGCCGTAGCTCTACATGGACTACTCTTCTAAGTCGCCTTTCATGGTGGAGGAGTTTGAGTCCTATTTCCTTGGGGGTGTAGATGACATGGCATCGTGGAGTCAGAGATTGTGGCATGATACCATTGATATGCTGGAGAACGGAACTGAGTGAGTCACAGATAGTATGCAGCAGATTTTGGTATTTGTCTGTGATCCAGTTGGGTTTTAGAACTGCCACCTCTAAAACAGAAAATCAGTAATCACAAGGCTCAAGATCAGTAATTTGGGGAATAAATCAGTAATTTCCTATGCGGTGCTATGGATCTTAAAAAAACGGCACGCCAACACTGCGCTGATTTTACTCACGCAAAGTTGATGAATGTTGATTTTTAGGTTATCACAACACATCAGTTTTCCATGAAAATTTGGTTTATATTAAGATAATTTTCCATCTTTTTCAGCGAGTGTTGGATGGCTGCCATACTGCACAGAACTCGCTATGATAAATCATATTTACGCCAAAAAACCCAACCCAAAATCTGTAATTTTAGACAACATTCCGTACTGCTGTAATGATCGTTAATTTCCGTACCAATTTTGGGGAAATCTGTACTGGTTGGTAGCTCTGATTATCTGTAGTTATAGACATTACAACACTGTGAGAAAACTATACTCTGATGTAGACCTATTTTTCTATGTTCTCATTTGATAAATTTCTTATGATCATGTATATGCATTACCAGGTATTTTAAAGACAGAGAAGGGATGGGGGGGGGGTGATGAGGGCTCAAGATCTTGCTAGTGGCGCAACCTGCTGCTGTCTAATTGTGCACAACTCCCAACTTATGTAAAGAGGAAGACATCGCCAGTCTTGCAGTATAGTAACATCAACAACAAACATTTTTTTTTTTTGGATAAATATTTTAACCTTTCAAAGGCTATTTTATTGAGTCAAACAAAACATTTTACAAATCAATGAAATGAAGTCTTTCTTTAACTCAAATAAAACAAAACACTTTAACATTTCTCTCCTTGTTGTTCATACAAACAGATGTTGCATTGACTGCTATTTAGTATAAAATTTGTTATACATACCAAATATAGAATGAATATATCTCTCGTCTTTGTAATATTGAATGATTTTCTTCTTCAAAGAACTAAAATTTGGAAATTTGGAATGATGATGATATTTAATGTGTGTAAAATCCTGGATGGCCTTATATTACCTGTGCTGTCCTATCTACAGTGTTTGTGATGTACCCAATAACCCCATCTACATCAACTGCTCCCGGATTACGGCATCCACCAAGCCCCTGCCACCAGGGAGAAGGAAGACACCACTGCAAGGTCTCCGGAGCAAGATCAACCTCCATGGCTTGGACAAGCAGGACGTAAAGGTCACTTCGTCAACCAGAGGGGTTTATCTGTCACCTGCCGATTCGGTCAAGGTATAATGGGCTCCATCTTATAAACAATAGCGATCGCTCTGGTATAATGTATTGCTGCTGTGTTCTTGTTTTTGTTTTTTCTCTTTTTGTTTTTTGTTTTAACTGTAATTTCTCTTTTGATTGTTTGTACAAATGTGATTATGAATGATCAATAAAACAAATTTTAAAAAAATATTTAAAAAATAGTGATCGCAAGTTGATTGAGAGTGATTTCAATCACAAATCTGTTCGTAGCAGATAGTGGATTGTAAGATTACGATTGATTGATTAAATTGTGATTGATTCTCATCAAGAAAGGCTCTTGTTCTATTTGTGTAACAAAGCTAATGTTCGACTTATTCAAAAAATGTCTTTGTTCAGGGTGATATACCAACTTCTGAATTAATTGTGTTAAATAGTTATTATGTCAATTGATCTTGCTTGAACCAGTAATCATAGATTAGATAACAGTGTACATGCATCGCCATCAGTAACTCCTTGTTTTAGTTTATTACTCAGAAGTGCATTTGTATAATTTCATTGAAATCTCCACATTTGGTAGAGTTTATCTTATTCATTATTGAAAGGTAGTAACCTATTTGGCGGTCCTGATCATTAAATAGGTAGTTTTTGGTACTGTATCTATCTGAGATCATTGAAGTCATATTGAGGCAAGGCACTTTTTATATTTGAAAATAAAATCATGGATTTGGGTTTTAATTATGACAGGAACAGCTGCAGACCATCAGTGAGAGAGTCAGAGAAAAGGAAAGGAGAATCAAATCTCTTTCAGGAAAGGATGAGAGACCAACATCAACCTTCCATGTCGGAGATCCTTACGCAAGGCTTGGACAGTAAGCAGATTTATGATCTCGTATCTGTTGTTCTTGATTTAATTCAGGGAAGAGAATTCCAAATGCTTGGTCCTTGGTACATTACAGGTTTTTGAAAAAAATGTGTACGCGTATGTGGCAAATGAAAATCCATATCATTTCTTGTTCTATGGCTATGAATATTGCAATTGGAATTAAATTAAGCTACTGTGACTACGTTTATGACATAACTTAAGTACATGAAAATTCTTACTTGGTTTAAATATAAATCATCAAAATGCAAAATCTTTTAGTGAACTAACTAAAGATGATGTATGGGCAAGAAACGAGGCATGGTTGATTATTCTAACAGCACGTTTATGTCATTTGACTACCTATTCAAAAACAGGAGCATGACAAAATCAGAGCATTACGGAACCAAAACCGAGGACCTGATCTTAGGAGCGCCTGGATATGGCAAGGAAGGCCAGGCCCAGACCGGACGGGTGTACGTCATCTATGGAACTAACCAGGTCTTACATAATGGGTCACATGACTTGGATAAGGAGGCTGATGTCATTCTTCAAGGTTTCAACGTAAGTTTTTTTTTTTGGGGGGGGGGGCGGGGGTATTTATCTTTGTAAGGTGTATATATCCTTTTACTAAAGCAATGTTCTTTCATATTTTTTTGCTTACCGGTATACCTACATTTTCAATTAACAAGAAAAAAGTACTGGGGAAAATGTATTATGATGGGAAGCTTTACCTGGTACGGTCACTCTGATTTATAGCGTGGCTCCACAATAACTTTCTCTGTTGGGGGTTCGTTCTGAAATTTGAGGGCTTATATGCAGTGAGCCTTGGGTGGAAATTCTGAATATGTGCATATTGGACCTAGATTTCGGGTGCCCATGTGTCCTGGGTGCTTGCTAGTGTCGAGCCCGGTTTATGGTACATCATGACACGTATAATAGTATAGCATGGGCTTTGAAACTCTAGCCTATCATGTGTAGACTAATCCAGACGGCAATAAAGAGGGATTAGTCTGCATTCTCTAGACTCGGTACATTACAATTTCACGAAAAAAAGGATGTAAACCAGTGTTGGTCTGAGAGCAGTGAGAACACTGTCACCTCATTTGGAAGCAGACAATAACTAAGGGCTTATCATAGTGTATTCTGTTTTTCCACTAATTTCTATATCCTGAAATTAAAAGATGGGATCAGAAGGGGAGATTTTTATAATCATTTTTTTGTACTGACACATGTACTCATACATGAAATTTTGAAGGAAAAAAAGTGAATTGTAAATATTTGAATTGTAATTTCTCCCAATGGCAGAAGATTCTTCAGAAAATCACATGATTCATTGTGTTGATAGTAATATTTGTGTGATTCTTAGTTACACTGCATGTACATGTTTTCAGTTTGTATTCCTTGACTGTTTTGTGTTTTCTCTGATATTTCAAATCGTTACTTTTATTTTCACAGGAAGGAGATAAATTTGGTACTGATGTAGCAGCCCTGGACATCAATCTGGATGGTATCATGGACATTGCTGTTAGTGCACCATCAGTGGGATCCAGGAACTTAACATACCATGTAAGACACAACCCCCCCCCCCCCCTCCCTCCCCTCTCCCCACTCCCCCTCCCCACCTGTCAGTGCACCGTCAGTGGGATCCAGGAACTTAACATACCATGTAAGAATCCCCCTCCCCCTCCCCACCCCAACCTGTCAGTGTACCGTTAATGGGATACCATGTAAGACACACCCCCCTCCCTCCCCTCTCCATGAACTTAACATACCATGTAAGACACACCCCCAACCCACCCCACCCCACCCCACCCCCTTGAAGTATGAAACAAGGACCTGTATCACATTCCCTTCTCATTATTTGCAGAGAATGGTTACAGGGTCAATGCCCTCTTCAAAAGCAGAGTTTCTCAAACACATGATGTTTTTTTCCTTCTAGATTTTCAAATATCCATGCCTTACTTATAATCTGCTAAGTTTGTAGTTGAATTACATTTTGGGATGTCTAGAAATTATCCTCAAATATTGATTGTGTAGGAGACCAGTATGTTAAAGGCTTTTAAAACGTGAAATACACGGTGAAATGACTGAATCTTGCTGAAGATCACAAACACTAGAAAGCCCTGCACAAAGATGTGGACATAATGTGTACTAAAAATGTCACAGTATCACACAATGATAAACTTTTTCTAGTAATGTTCAAAATATTAAGAGTATTTCTAAGCCACTCTCTAACACAAGGAGAACAGTTTCATTCATTTAAATCCTTCCTTTCATTCTTATTGCCTATGTTTAAAATGTATCTTTCTGTTTATTAGGGAGAAGTGTACATATTCTATGGAAGTAAGACAGGTTGGTCATCTCTGTCTCCAGACGTCACGATCACATGCACGGTGAGTTTTACTTCTAATTCAACATCCGTTGTTATAATCCTCTTTCTTTGATGATGGCTTTACTTCCATCATTCTGGAATGAAAATCAGAAGAAATGCTAATTTTCCCACTACATCAAATTACCTGAATATGAAAAGTAAAAGGTTGCTGTGAGCAATGAAGTATCTACCCATACCCACTTCTCTATGCATGATTAGGACCCTGTTTCATAACACTTGTTATCAATAACAAATGCTAAATCTCTGTGACAAATCTGCTCTCAACCAAACAAATGCCACAATTTCAATAGCTTTTAACACTTATTGTTACTTGTTATTGGTATCAAGTTCAATGAGACAGGGCCCAGATGTGAAGTACATTTTTACCTCTATTTCTTTTTGTTTTGACCTTGACGTTCTACTGCAGCATGTATGAATGAGCCTGTCTTGTTCCAGCTCATTTTAACTCATTTTAAGTGTCACATTATGGATATTTCTGATAAAGTGAATGCAATATGACATGTATGTACTGTTAACTTGTTAGAAGAGACTATCTGAACAGTATACATTGTCAGTTTATATTTTCAGTACATTCTCATTATTTATTATTAATAGCCAAAATATGAGTTCACTTTGTGCCACATTTGTAACAACCAGCACAACAAAACGTTGCCTGTGAAAATTGCCTGTCTGTTCCAAATTGTAGCTGAAGTATTGCAACTTTGGCTGGTCATTATCTACTGGAGACTTCAACTATGATGGTCATCCTGACCTCTTGATAGGGTCACCATACGCTCCAGCCAGTGGTCTTCCTCAAGCCGGTATGGTGTCTATCCTCTATGCAGGGCTAAACCACCAAAGTGAGTCTACGCTTGAAAGTTTAGTTGTTAGTTTACTGTGATCATGAACCAAAGCGAGTACTTAAAATGTAATTGTGTCTGCCTGCAATTCTGAAGCGAAGCTGAGGAAAGATAGCGTATACATTCATATCAGTTTGCACTATAATAAGTGCATGTATCTTTCATGTGCAGATTATGTCGGTGTACACCTCACTGAGAAGGATATGAATTACACATACAAAGGAGATCAGGTAAGTGCTGAATAAACCTATAAAAAAAAACGATTGGATGTGTTAGCTATCTGTAAAGAATGGAAGTATATGTAAACAAAATCTCATTCAACGTCATCACTCTGTGTGGACAATATCCATGAAATGTTGATACATTTACCATCAATAGGGGTGTTAAGTGTCAAGTGATGCGTAAGACGTGTGGAAAATGTAGCATATCAGAAGAAATTAAAGTTTGAAGATTGTGCAAATGGTTGAGGCTGCCAAGATTTACGAAACATAATGTTCATCAAACATGCTCAATAGAATGATATGCCACTGGTCTCTGCTATCAAAGAACAATAAATGTGATTCTTGGGTAAAAACAGCCCCAAGTTCTAGATTTTGTACGTTCATGTGCATGCATTTAGAAATTAACAAGCAGCCAAGAAATCTGAATACCTACACATGACTTCTCTGAAATCAATAGGTTTATTCAAATGTATTCAACTGTATTCAACTGTATTCAAAAGACAATTATACATCTTGTTTTATCTTTATCTTTCAGGAATATGGATGGTTTGGCCATAAAATGTTGATGCACATAACACCACGTCATAAGCCCTTATTTCTTGTTTCCCAGCCAACATATCGCCTATGCGTCAAGTGAGTCAAAATACCAGTTCACAAGAAATGTGCATATCCATTTCGCATTACATTCATGCTGTATGAGTATGATATTAAAGGGTTAAGCTTTAATAAATTATTCAATTAATTTTTAATTATATATATATATATATATATCTGTAAAGCGCTTTGAGAGGGCCTTCGGTCCTGAAAAGTGCTATATAAGAACTAGCTATTATTATTATTATTATTAAACCATTTTTATTGAGCTCCCGATATAGCTCTATAATTTTAGCCTGTGAATGCCGAAATTAATTAGTAAAAAGTTATTACTGAATTTGTTTTTCTTGTAAATGAAGAACCTTGTAGTGATGTCCTTGCATATGTTGTATAATTAGTTGTTTTTTTTGGAACAATGATTGTCATTTTTTTTTAATTTGATTTTGTTTTGATGCAGTTCATAGCTTTGTGCCCTTCATTTTTACCTAGTCCTGCTAATGTTTATGTCCTCCTAAACACCTTCATTACAATTACAATCCTAGATGTCTATCTTGAATTTCTGAATGATTCTAATTTTTCTTGTCCTGGACTTCTTTTCCTTAGTCCGAACTGCTCTTACACGGTCCATGACATTCAGAGTGTTGGCGCCCTCTCCATCTTCTCTGCCGGGCCCTCCCCCGTTCTCCTGGCTGTGCTGAAGGGGCAAGATACCTTCCAGAAGCTGGGAGCAGGATTCGCTGTCGGGGACCCCTTTGGGAACGGCAGTCTAGTCCTGGCCGTTGGATCAAACACAAAAGGTAGAGTTTTAAAGCCCCACTGCACTACTTATAGCTACTTGCGCCCTCAAAATAGCAAACAATGCCTAAGCGCTGACCATTGGTCTCCCATGATCCCCTTTTTCTTATGTTAATTGAGAGCTGATTTGATGAGATAACCACCTGTCAGTGACCATGCAGGGAGGTCTAATCCCTCCTGGCCAAACAAGTGCAGAGGGGCTTTAAAATTGACTGTGCTGATTGATCTCATTCAAAGGATTATATCTAGTATGATGAATAGTTTTTGTACAGCATGTGCAATCACTTGCATCAGCGTGTGACTGTAATACAGATCTACCATATTTTATTGATGGTGTAGCCAGGCCGGCAGCGACTATACTTTTGATATATGGAATCTTTTACGTGTAAATGTATAAGTCTGCGTGGTTATCATATATACAATGTACATGTATATCAAGTCAACAAATTGATGTTCTATTTTTATTAGGTAACTTTTAGTCTCTATTTTAAAACTGTTTGCAAAATGCTGATAATTGTATTATGATCAATGGCTGCCGTAAAATTCTTTGAAAAACTTGTCGTACTAAAGCACTACTCCATGTTATCTTTTACCAGATGTTGATGGGGAGATTCTCGATGTGCCAGTCAAGCTGACCGATGCTGGACGGGTCACTTTATACAACTTGGACATCAGCTCTCCCTCCACCCTTCTGCATCCATCCGGTTCCAGTACTGCTAGCAGACTGATAAGGCTTCATCTTGATCATCGTGAGGATGTTTCCCTGGGTCCTATAGCAATGTATGAGGGCGACAGACAGTATGGGAGATACGGAGGAGAGCTCATGTTCCAGGATGTGACAGGAGATGGAATAGGTAAGGGGAAAAATATTATCCTTGAGAACAAGTAAATGCATACCCAACACAAGCAGATAGATCATTTACTTTGTATTCTAATTGTTTGACTTGCATCCATGCCAGACTCCAGGGGGGTGTTTCACAAAGATCCTAAGTTGAACTTATCTCTAAGTTGGACTTAACAATTATGGAAAGCTGTTAGCATCTTTGAAAATATTTTGTTAAAGTTATTTAAAAAGCCACAAAATGTTGATTCAAACCATTCATATTTTCTATTATCATGGAAGGTTTCATGTTCTTGATGTGGAATTTATGAAAAGTTTAGAATACTTGAATTTTTGCTTTTGAATATATTTCATTATCAGGCTACAAATAACTCTCCATAATTTTTAAATCCAACTTAGAGTTAAGTTTGACTTAGAATCTTTGTGAAGCACCCCCAGGTGTATAGATCTGGGATCCCATGCTCTGAAATCTATTTCAGGCTTCATATGTCTAACAAAAATGCATTCCTTTATTTTAAATCCTATTTCTTCTTGACCTTTTTTATTCAATTTCCTTCCCTCTTCTGCTTGCTTGCTTGCAGTATATGTTTCTTTTGCATCCATTAAAAGTATTGTGTTTTCTTTAGTACACTTTCCGAGACATGGTACATGTAGAATCCAGTTTGTCTGCCAGTAGCTTCTTTTTTTGTAACGTGAAGATGTGAACAAATTTGAGATTATAGTCATCAACTGTTGAATATTTGCTTTGTAATGACATTGAATATATTTAGATGTTATGATTTTCTCATTCATATGTTCAATATTCAGATGATTTGGTTGTCAGTGCTCCATTTCGAACTGAAGACATCAGTGAAGAACTATTCAAAGGTAAATTAACAGAAATTAACCAGAGTTGACATAATGTTTGATGTCCACTACATGATTCAATATTTGATAACACCACATATTATATCCAACTTTCTTGAACAGTTTTCCTAGTATTCCTAGGGTTCTATCACCTTGATAGTTCACCTTCTGCAATGTATAGCAGATATCTTTAAAGAATTTTGCTTGAGAAAATTTCTCTTGTTCGATAATTTGATAACTGATGGGAAATTAAGCAGAGGCATATTTCTAAAGGTTAAGTGCCAGCCGTCTTTTTTATTCTACAACTTTAAAATCCATACTGTTTAAAGGAGTACATTCTTTATCTTGTGTAATTGATATATTCAGAGGATGGTTCTTCTGAAAAAGCAAATTGTCAATTCCTCTTGAAAAGAAGTTTATTGTGTTTAGAATTGGATGCTTCTCAGTTTGCAATGGTCACTCTCTCACATACAGTTTATAAGGCCTAAAAAAAAGATTTTGTATTGCCCTTTAGGTGCCAAAACATGGGTCGGTCGGTCAGAATTTTCTTCTTTTTTTTAAAAACTTTTTTTGGTCCTTCTCCCTCTTTGGGCTGATATCTATGCATTAATATTTGTTTTCGGTAAAAAAAAAAAAAGTTTTTTTTTTCTTCAAAGCTGACCGTAGATTTCAAGATTTTGGGGTCGGTCGCAAATTGCGTTACAAGATCATTTTTGGGGGAGCCTAATGAACTTATGAGTCACCTGTGTATTATTCCTTGCAGTTGAAGAGGGAAGCATCTTTGTCTATCAGGGTGGTCCATCATTTGGAACAGGCAATGTGACCCGGTCATGTGACTTCCTCTCACTCGTCAAACCGTGCCCTACAGAAAAGGTGAGTTTTACATTCCCCTTCTCACTACCCAGGTTTCCATGGTGAAATAGGTCTAATTAAATCATGCATTTTCAGGAACATATTTCCGGAATCTGTAAAGGACAGTTAAAACTGTTTTTGATTTTTGCCAAAATTTGTCATGATAAGGTGTAATGTTTATTTTATGCATTTACCAATAGGATGCAGACATCAATGTATTTGGATTAACATGTGAGCGTCCGTGAAAGGGCAACTGGCTGGAATGCTCCCAAGGAGTGGAGAGTGTGCACTGCAAAGTGCAGAACAGTGACAGAATCCAGTGTCCGGATTGTAAGTGCTCTGGTTGGGCACGTTTTGACTGATAAAGTGCCCTTATAAGAAACAGTTAAAATTATTATTAACAACAATGCCAGTCTAATATTTATATTATAATCTGTGTTTTATGGCTATTGTGTAAGGTTATGCTATTTCTATACATTTTTCTCTGTTTTGCAGGCATACAGCGTATTATCAAGCAATGAAGTAAGTTGATTATCACTTATTCAACACTTTTAGATTGATAGATCTAATAAGACAAATAAGATGATGATTTGACTTAGCGTGCACAATTTGAAGAATGCACTTCTCCATTTTCTTGTTTCTTTAATCTTTGAAGCAAAGATTTACCTCCTCACATCTCTTTGTCATTATAAAATATAGTGCCCAAAAAACAAATTCAGTGTCTGTGAAAAGCAGAATTAAGATAGACCATCAGGTTTTGTGTCTTTATTTTTGGCCATCCATTTCCACTTTGCGAAATGTCTATTTTTTAAAATTATTATTTACCGCTGAGGACATTTGTGAGAATTAAGATACAATTTTTGTCTACAATGTTATTTCAAGTAGAGGATATGTTGTTGGCTAGTTTGAAATATACTTGCATTGATTTAGTTGAATTTGTGAAACATCTTTTTGTCAATTAAAATAAAGTATACCGAATGTACATTGGTTTCCATCAATTCATCAAAATCAGGATTTTTACAGAAATTTAACAAAAAGCTCATATTGACATCATTTTATTATTGACATAACTTATTTTACATTTTATCTTTTACAGGGTGGATCACGATTCGGTTCCAAATTGACAACATGGAGATTTAGTGAGGTATGTCTTGTCTGATCACATACATTTTTCTTATTCCTAGTTTAAAATGTTTGTTATAGCCAAAAGTAGAACCATGATATTGCATTTTCTTTCTTATGTTTAATTGATGTTATCAAATTGCTGTGAGATGTGGTTCTATTTAAAGCCTATCTGCACTAGTTTGGCCAGGAGGGATTAGACCTCCCTGCGTAGTCACTGACAGGTGGTTATCTCATCATATCAGCTCTCAATAAACATAAGAAAAAGGGGACTATGGGGTACCAACGATTACCGCTTAGGCACTGTTTGCTATATAGAGGACGCAAGTAGCTTCAAGTAGTGCAGTCCCGCTTCAAATAGGTAGATTTGTTTTTTTTAGAGAAAATTGACTTCCAAGTAATTTCAAATTAGAGGCCTTCAGTGTCTCAGTGATTTCCATTTACACCAAAGATCAAAATACCGGTACATGTATCCACAGCATGACAGTAATGGATATTAGTGATGGAATGTGTTCTTTTAGTTGTTTACCTCAAAACATAATTTTTTTGATTACCTGTCCATGTATGTTTTTGTTCTTTCCTTTCTTTCTTTATTGTGGGAGGATGTGAACGAAAAGAAACACAGATAATATTTTGTTTATGCTAATGAGATCTTTGAGATCCAGATATTTTGATAATGTGCAAGTAAATTAATTCATAATTACATTATTAATTTGCATACGGTTGAAACTTTACACTTTTGTTTCTACTTCTAGAAACCTCATCTGGTCGTCAGTGCACCTCGAAGTAACGGCGCAGAGAGGCTTGCAGGGGAAGTCTACGTTTACACTCTCTAGGTGAAACGTTCAGCTCAGCAGGGCAGTGGTTGGGTCTGGAGCGCTTCAAGTTGGGTTGTTTGAACAGTGGCAATATCTGATTGAATGAAAAGATTGAGCAATGGATGCTAGAGTGATTGATTGCTGAATGGGTGAATGAATACTGTAAACGCTGTTATTTTTGCATGATTAATTTTTCGTGCTGAGCGACCTCGAAACATATTCGCAGGTTCTTAAATGTGTGTTGCACTCAATTCAGCCTGTTCAGAACATGCATAAAAAGTCATGCTTATATTTTCATGAGTTCTAAACTTTGCGTTTGCCGATATTAGTGCAAAATCTGCGAAAATGAATGTACCGCAAGTATTTCTACTTTTACAGTAGATGGATGAATGAATGAGTGAGTGAGTGAGTGAGTGAATAATGAATGGTGGATTGCAATATAATATAATAATCATGTCAATTTATTTTATTCAATGTAAAGCACTATAGAAACTCTTTTAACATACTATGCAAGAACATATATTTATTCTAAGCAACTCAAGATTAAAACATAAGGATTACACAATGGATGGATGAAGGAATTAATGAACTTTGAATGGGAGATGGATGGTTTTACAATGCAATAATCATGTGCCTTTATTTTATGTCATGGAATACCGCTTCAAAAACTTTTGTTAACGCACTATGCAGATCAAAATCTTGTTATAGATCTACTTTGCAGTGACATGTGTGGTTTTATCATGTTAATTCTTACAAATTAAACATTACTCAGATCACAACTTATAGTACTAGTGTAATAACCACACCCTTTAGTTGCAGTTGATTTTAATACATTAATGTATAAATTAAAAAAGAGATGAATAATTCAGATACAACAATATTAAAAAAATCACTTTAGTAATAATAAGTCATGAGATTCATTGGTATATTTTTACAAGTCCTCGGTATCTCAAAATAGGCATCAAATGGCACATATCAGATAGGAAGGGTTTTTAGACACTACCCTATTAATTTATGAAAAGAAGGTCAAACATGCTGAATGTACTTTACATAATTTCATAATTTCATAATTTCATAATTACATAATTTCCGTTTTGGTTTAATAAAATTTGGAGTGGACTATTAGGCTATTATTATTATTATTATTATTAAAAGTCCACAATGTCATTAGATGGATTTTTAGCACAACTACCTGATTTACAAGTCATCATGATTACCTTTGCTTGCAGCTTCAGGTTGTGAGAGATCTGAGATGAAGTAACCTTGGGCATAATGTACAGACACTCCATATTCTCAGTCAAACTTAAATTGTAACCAGACGATGATTTTCTGAGCTTTGATAAACTTCCATAAAATACTGACACCATCCTCATCAATTCAATATTAAAGCTAATATCGTTGACGATATTCAGTTATACTCTACATATCTTAAGGACTGTAAACGACAGCCTTCTTCATTCAGCTTGTTCTCGTGAGTGCCTACAGTCTGCCTAGTCTCTACTATACGAGAATGTATATCGGCGCAGTGACGTGACCAAAACAAGAACTACTGTCTCATATCCTTCCGTAAAATCTCTCATTGATTTAAAAGCGTACAATACCTAATAGTTCACATGATCCAATTCACACATTCAAAATAAGTGTTGTTGTACAAATGATCTTCTTTTGCAACTAACCTCCATTATTAGTAGTAGTCGTAGTAGTAGTATTTATATATTACGCTTTTCCCAGAGCGGCCCAAAACGCTTACAAAAAGAAGAATCCTAAAAAATCCATTCTTTCTAATCTGGAGTTTCCTCTTTTATCATCAAAGTATAAAGAGCATTGCAGCCAAGTATGACATGGTACTTGCCTTGTCTCTTGCTAGGGATGCCATTGCATGGTGTGCAATTTATAAACAGTACCGGTATGTGAATTTTGTGTTCCCATATGCCACTCAATACTCATTAATATAACTGTCGTTCTTTACACTTCACTCATACTGAGCTATGCAGATTGGGCAGACATAATCTCCTTCAGGGGGAATGCTTATTCCTACACACTTATAGTGACACCATCTGCCACATTCTATTTGTCATATAAAAAACATGAATAATTTTAACATTGATATTAACAGATAAGTAAAGAACATACAAATAACATAATGAAAGATAAACACAAGATACAATTATATATATATATATATACAAGCAAAAACAAAGTCTTTAAGTGGTGCTGGTCCCTTACGACATGATGAAGAATTTTACCCTATAACACTTAACACCTTACACCTAACAACTAACACCTGATTGCATATATGTATATACACATACCTCACATCATACCCAATCTGTTGGCAATCTTGGCTTGCTGCAGCCCACCATGTCAAAATTTTTACATTGCTAAGGTGGCTTTTCTGATGCTTTGAGAAGTTTGGAGAGCACATAATTGCGCATGCTTCTGGCATAATCTCTGTCAGGGGTATGCTTATTCCTACAAATTTTCAGTTTCAGTTTTATTTTTATTTTCCAACAGAACAGTCATTTTGACAAGAAATCAGATATGCAATTCAACATTCAATAACATAATACATTTTACATGGTTTAAAGTTATGAAATAGGAAGTATACATAAATATCCAGTGTAATGGTTTTTTTAAGTTTTTAAAAACATAAACCTGTGGAAATGGAGGGATCCACTGAAAAGCAGAGCTTGTAAAGTGTGGATCCCTCACTTATAGTGACGCCATTTGCCACATACCACACAGCATATCCAATCGGCTTGCAATCTTGGCTTGCTACATACAGCCTACCATGTCACAAATTTTACATTGCTTAGGTGGCTTTTCTGATGCTTGGAGAAGTTTAGAGAGCACATAATTGCGCATGTTTCTGCATAATCTCCTTCAGGGGATATGCTTATTCCTACACACTTATAGTGACACCATCTGCCACAGGTATTTTGTGATGAGGACAGAGACCATTCCAGAAATGCCAAGGTCTTTCTTCTGCTCCAGGTAGTTGTATTTGAAGATCTTGTTTTGGCGTTCTATTCCGTTATTGGTATTTACCTGAAGATCTCAGTTCTGCTCCAGGTAGTTGTATTTGAAGATCTTGTTCTGTCGCTCTATTCCGTTATTGGTGTTTACCTGAAGATCTCGGTTCTGCTCCATGTAGTTGTATTTGAAGATCTTGTTTTGGCGCTCTATTCCGTTGTTGGTGTTTACATAAAGAAGGGTTCCAGTCCTTGCAATCTTCTTGCATCCATTGTTTGATGGTCTGAACGCCAAGCTGTATCGCTCTTGCAGTCTCGTATTGCACAACGGATTCTCCAACGACTAAATAGCCGTGATTGGTCTCTACGGCCAAAAAGAACAATGGAACGGCATATTTCGTTGTGCGGTATGTAGCATCAAGAAGGCAAAGCTTGTTGCCATATCTAAGACAAAAATTTGCCTTGTCACTTTCTATCGGTGTTCCATCTTCCTTTCCTAGATTTGCCTGATTATCTTTCGTGGGAATATCTTTCTTGTGTACATTTGCCTGATTACTCTCTTTTGGAGTTCCATCTTCCTTCCTAGGTTTGCATGATCACTTTCTTTAAGGTGGCTCTCATTCCTTCTTACATTTGAACAATTAATTTATTTTGCATATTGCATAATGTTTTGCATATTATGTACAAATTTATTTACCTGGAAATGTCTCTTCAATGGCTTTAATTTCTCTTTCAGAGAAATCGGTCATGAAATATGATGGATTCCAGTCCTTGCCATCTTCTTGCATCCATTGTTTGATGGTCTGAACGCCTAGCTGTATTGCTCTTGCCGTCTCATATTGCAAAACAAATTCTCCAACGACTGAATAGCTGTGATTGGTCTTTATGGCCAAAAAAACCTCCTTGGTTCCTTCGATAAGTTGACACAACAAAGGTGCATCCACTGTCCACAGACGTCACATTTAGCCCGCGTCAATGCCGTCTTGCCCCTTACATTCTTGCTGTAAGTTGTACTGTCATAAGGAGCAGGCCTAACTTGTCATCGATCATGTTTAGCACATCATCTGAACAGAAGTAGGTCATGTTTCTAAGTAGATCAACTTTTTCTCTGCACTTAGGGTCAATAGATTTTTTGCAGAGGGCAAATGACCTTGTTTCTTTAATGATGACGTTGTGTTCTTCTGCGGTTCCTATACTAAGCCACTTTTATTACGGAGTTTCATTTGCACTATTATAAGGAGCAGGCCCAACTTGTCGTCCATTATGTTCAGCCCATCATCCAAACTCAAGTAAGTTGTGTCTCTTATTAGGTCGTCTTTTTCCCTGCACTCAAGGGCCAATTGCTTTTTGGCAGAGGGCAAATGGCCTCGTTTTTGGAGTTCCTTCATTATATTTTCATCAGCTGGCTGCTCTAATTATCAGGCTGATGGTCTCCCTGGTCTCTACCTTGGTCTGCAGGCACCTTAAGAAAGCCGCACACTTCTGTGTCCAAGGTGATGGATGAAATAAGATGGGTCGATTCTGTAAAAAAGGTGAAATTTGGCACATGACCACCAATGAACCTTTGCCTCTCCTTTCTGGAAACTTATCTATTGAGTATGTGTCTCTTCTCCCTGGTAGTGCTTGGAGAGTTAGCACAGCTTCATCTAGGGGATCCTGTTCACATAGCTGAACATGATTACCTGGCCAAGCATCTGGCTGAGGTTCATCATTCTTGTAAGGCTGGGAATGTTGTGCCACTTGCAGACCTTCATAACCCTCGATGAGGTATCCACACCTCTCTTCTTGGTCTTTTGAGGATGTTGCTCCCTCTCTAACACCAGGCCTTCTTCAAAAGGTAGCTGTCTTCTCAGGAAGGACAAAGTTTTGTCCAGTTCATTGGTAAAACAGATGAGGGCTTCTTCATCAGTGAAGAGATAGGTGAAGTCCTACAAGAGATGAATCTTTTCTCTGCAAGACACAGCTAAGCGGTTTAGCCGGCTACCTTGAGGTAAGGAAGGGATCTCACCGCTGCCAACATCGCCTTCATGCACCGTCTCCACACAAGTCTCTTCTGTCCCAGTGAAGTTGAGAAACAATTGGCAATCTCTGTGTCCAAGGTGTGAAAAGGTAATGCTGTAAATGAGTGCGGTCATCATACATTTAGGTACTTCCTAGTGATTCCATAGTTGTCAGATTTTCTTTTATATATATCTGGGGAACCAATCATATCTGATTTGAATCAATCATATTTTCCTTTATCTCCACTGAAAATGTCCTATGTAAGTTAACTGCTGTTATTAACCATAAAGCAAACGGGATATCAATGTTTTGCTTTCGCGCGTGCTCCTGCAGTTTTTTTCTTCTGAATTTTGATGTATTGCTCTCTGGCTTCACCCTCCATTTCCCGACCGTACTTGAGTGCTGCAATGTCCTCGCTTAACTGCTCATACCCCAGAAGCATCTTTACTAGTACGCTGTTGTCTATCTGGTTCCCCTGAGATGAGAGTCTCCTTCCCCTGGTAAGTACGGTGTGCACCACAGACCCTGTGATGCGACCCTTACGTTGGTCAAACCATGTGGTGTTAGATGCTTGTCCCCGAGTTGCAAGTTCCAAGCGTTGAATAGTTTGTGTGTCATACTTTGGAGGGAAATCCAAAAACTCGTCTACAGAGCTGGCCTGGCTGGCTAAAGTCCAGAGCCGTTTGGGGAGATCTGGAGTGAGTGAAGTCACAACATCTTCATGGTGACCCTCATTGATGTCACACTCAGCAGAAGATGAGCTTGCTTCTTCAGGATCCATTGAGATGTACTGGAAGCAGCATGCTGTTGGGAATGTTGGGTAGAGGGCTTTCACAAGCTTTGTTAAAGATGGACCAGAGCTTGTTCCTGTCGATCTGGCCTCTGTTGGTGAGAACAGCCATCTCGCTGGAGGGCAAATGGCTTTGTTTTGGGAGTTCCTCCAACATAGTGTCATCAGCTGGCTGCTCTACTTGATGTTGTCAGGCTGATGGTCTCCCTGGTCTATACCTTGGTCTGCAGGCACCTCAAGAAAACCGCACACTTCTGTGTCCAAGGAAGTAATGCTACCTGGAAGCAACGCTCTGATTTCCT